AAAACATATTTGTATTAAAAAGGAAAACTGTGTGTGTATATCAATCTTGTTGACAAATAACATAAATTGGAGATACATCGGCATTTATTTAACTACTGAATTTATATAATCATTTCACTCAATTTCAGAATATTCGAGACCCCCAATTGTATGCTTGCTAGCACTAATACCAAATGCTGTAGGGAAAACACATATACAGGGGTAGACTACCTAATTATCAGCGATAAAACGAAATTAATAACAACGCAAAAAAAAAACAACAAACAAACAGTGCAATAATTAAATTACATAAACTATATCAAACTCACTAATTATTTTTGGAATTACATAGTTACCGACTCATCTTTGAAACAAAAGTTTGCGTAATATCATAATTTCAATATCTGTCCTATATGATCACCTAGTTTAATTCGAAAGCAAAGTTAGTTAAAACTTAAAAAAAAAGATTAAACAAAATCATCATATCAGTAAGTATTTTTTTTGGCTAATGGAAAAAAAATAATACTCTCATATTCGAGATTTGTTTTGCAATGCTGATTTACCACAGCATCACCGAGTATGTATTAACAAAACGTTATAAATATTACAATATACACAAATAAATGGTAGTTTTAGAGCGACTTAAGTAAAAAAATAAAACATTCATTTTAAGTGGCATAACGGTATGATTTTAGGCCTGAAAACTTTAAAAGAACAAAATCATATAAAAGTATTTAAAAAAAAAGAGTCTATAAACATCACAATATAAGCGTGTGTGTGTATATCCATATAAGATCTATCAGTCTATATATGTTTATCGTGTATGAATATAAGAACATCTTTACTAATATTGTTGTATTTCAACACGATAACATACAAGGGATTCTGATTCTCAGAAACAATACATGTGGTTATTCATTTAGTCGATAACTTTAAAAAGATAGCTAAAAATAAGCAGGGGTACGAAGAACATCAAAACCGAAGTACTTATATCTAAGCTTTGTAAGGTATTCATTAAGTCTAATAGTTAAATGTGATGTATATCGCAATCAGTATATAATAATAGTTATTTCCTGGTACGTTAGCCTTATGTTACGCCGTCTTATTTGTTTCTCCTGTACATTTTTTTTTGTGAACAGCTAAGTTTTAATGCACTTACTAAGGGCATCTATTTATTACGTGTATATTCTTCCACTTTGAGGATATTTCAAGTCGAGTTTTAATTTTTTTTTTTTTTATTTTGCTTTAAAACTTGCGTTACCGTGATCCAGGCAGAAGACAAAACCTATGCATGCAACTTACAGCTGTGACGTCAGGGGCAGGGGGCGGAGTCGTACTTCCTTCCCGCTGTGTGGACATACCTAATATTGGACGATCTACGTGAAAGTCGACCTCGGCTCTGCTGCTTGTTGCTGAATGATTTCAATGTCTGCCTTAAGAAGGAAATGGTATCTTGGCAGGTACAAGAACTAGGTAAGAAAATTAATTCAACTTTGGCCTTAGATACGTTTATTGCCTTATAGTTACTTGAGAACTTAAAAAAGGCGAATTAAAAAAAACACTCTTGAATTATTTAAATACTTTAAATGATAAAGTCACAGGCTAGTTCCAAGTTTCTCTCCTTGACTATCCGCTGCTTGTCCCCGTCAGGAGGTTGGTCAGAATGATCCGCTTTTAAGAGACGACCATATGGTAGTCACTGTTCCTCTCCTGTAAATATTCAGGCAAGTCATCACTCGACAAGATATTTAATTTAAAGCAATAAGAGACCGATTAATGATGATAAGGGTCGACACAGGGCTGGAACGGAGTGCCACCGCTCCAACTCTACTTCTGATTGGCCGAACGCTCCCATTCAATATGCTAGCATTCAAGCGCGAGAGGAGTGACGTTTTCGGAAGCTCCACGATTGGCTCTGTAGATACGTGATTACTAAGAGCAAGCGGCGGGAGATTGAGCTGTTTCCAATTACACGAAAAGGATCTGAGAGCAAACTTAGTTAAGTAATGTTGCCACGTGCCCCGCGCCTATTATGCAAATAAGCATGCACGCGCACAACGAGTTGTTATTCTGAAACCCTTGTTGTAATCGAATATAAAGTATCTTCTCAAATTTTAAATGAGAGTCACTTATAAAACAAAGAAAAACAAAACGAAGAGAGAACTGGGTATGTGAACAATACTCTTTAGAGTTTCGTGCAAGTTGTCTACATTCAAGTAATGTTGGCTAGTATGTAGTTACATTAATATTTACGTATTCGCTTAATGTATATGGCCACTCAGACATGATAGGTTATGATCACCAAAAACAAAGTAAAAGTACATTTTAACCTTTTCACGATTTCAGTAGGTGTGAGAAATGGAAAAATTCAATTAACGTGCGAATTTTGTATTGCCAAAATATTAACTGCCATGCTTAATGTTTTTCGAAATTAATGCCTTTGCATTAGACAAGAACAATGAATAAACACTACAAGAAGTGCTAAGCCAAATGATTTTAGTCCAAAGAATATAATACAATTAAACTTAGAAGAGATTTCGGTTGTAAAACTCCTTATTTTGCCAGCAAAATGTGTCTTAAATTTTGAACTTATAACAAAATGATCACCATGTGGATGTAGCTTTTCTTTTTATAGAATGTAGCAAAAAAAAGGCAAAGGAGACACAAATTAAAAGGACGACTAAAACAAATAACATTATTGTGTTTCGTTTCTACACAACGTTATATTTTTTTCTTTTTTTTTACATTAGGATCTGGCGCTTGTTCTCTAACCATTGGGGTTTGTATAGCTGCATCAGCATCCACAGAGTGATATAAATGATTTTTACTGAAATGCTAAGTATAAAATACACAAATGATGACGCAATCTTCTTGTGATTCGAAAACTTTGTATGCACCAAATATATCGAAGTTTCCTTACTTGTCTTTAACAATGACTTTTGTATAGTCGTGTCTACTATTGTCAAAACAATTAAACATTGCGGTTTCCAGTGTCTACTGTTGTCAATACAACAAAATATCAATTTTTCCCTTGCCTTTTGTTGTCCACGCAACAAAGCATCAACTTTCTCCGCGTCGACTGTTGTCAAGACAACAAAACATCAGTTCTCTCCGTGTTTGATATTTTCAAGGCAACCAAAAAATCGGGGCTCCCATGTCAACAACTGTCGAAACAATTACGCATTTATATCCCTAATTTTCAATAATAAGGGAATTCGTATTTAAAAAAATAATAAATTAAGATAATGGAATAAGAGTAAAGAAAACAACAATATAATAGAAATTACTGATTTTTCCAAGCCCGTTCCCTTGGCTGTGGTTTCGCTAGATAGTAGATAGGGACAGTGGGAATCTCGTTAATCCATTCATGCGCGTCACTAATTAGATAACGAGGCATTTGGCTACCTTAAGAGAGTCATAGTTACGTTAAATTGCTAATATCTGTTAAATAAAATAGAAGCTCCTGAAAATACAAAAAAAAGCATAATTTTACTGCAATAAATTATTTTTTTGTTGCATCACCTGTTGTTTTTTTCTTTCGATAATAATGCAAATGTAGTTCTTAAACTAATAATGTGTAAATGATCTACATTCAATATTAATTCACAGTTATATTCTATTCTCCTTAGATGGACGTTGTTTGATAGCCTGCTTATAATGTATCGTGGGTTAGGACATATTAAGCTCCGAAAATTATAATTTATACTTTCAATTAATAAGTACTACTTACGATATATATATATATATAATATTAGCCCTTAATTAAGACAGATTTCTATATCACTATTCTTGCTTCGTACATAACATGATGTTTGTTCTTCGATAAATTTAAGGTTTATCGTAAGCAAGTTAACTTAAAAACAAAGTTTTACAAACTTGAAAATGAAAGGAATACAAATCACGTGTATTCTAGTTGTGGTCAGTTTCATCAACCTTCATGAACTATTACCTTAACATATAGGATTAAAATTTAGGGTAGGAGTCTATCACTTTGTGCCAGATTTGAGTCTCCCTACTCCATACTATTATATATATATTTTTTTTACCAGCTTCCTAAAAGGAACACATAACTCCTTCACCAGATTTTAAAGATTCTGACATTCAAAGATCTAGAAAGAAGGACCATCTAAACTTCAGACATACAAATCGAGACTGTAAGATTTATTCTATTCTTCAATATGTAATACAATTAAAAATGGTAGATTATATCCAGCATCAAATTAGGTAATTTTTTCCGTGTCTTACAATCTCTTAGAGCTCTTTGCCCCCCAGTGGCACAGCGGTATGTCTGCGGACTTACAACGCTAGAAACCGGGTTTCGATACCCGTGGTGGGCAGAGCACAGATAGCCCTTGTGTAGCTTTGTGCATAATTAAAAACAAACAAACTCTTAGAGCTCATATAAATCAGTATTCAAGTATTCAGTCAATAATTATGTCTTTAAATTACTGCGAAGATATCTTGTTATGAATAAGGTATTATTTTAAAGACTTTTCAAATTCGTGATAAATTCAATAGTTTCTTACCTCTTATTATATTCATTATTTAATTTGCCTTGCGGAGCAATTTCAGAAGAAGTACGTTGTTGATATAAATAACCTAAGCTGTTAACTTAAAATTCATGATATGAATAGTACGTATAATAACATCTTTGCTGCTTCACTTTGGAAATTGTGTGTTTGTTTCTAATTAAGCACAAAGCTACACAATTGACTATCTGTGTTATGCTCACCACGGGTATCAAAACCCGGATTCTAGCGTTGTAAGTCCGCAGACATACCGCTGTGTCACTGGGAGGGGGGGCTTCACTTTAGAAATATAATGATTGTTACCTCATTAAAAATTGTAGAAATGTCGGAAACGTTAATGTGCCCTTTATCTTCTGATTGTGATTATATTATTTCATTGTAAAAATACAAACTCTTAACTCAAATGTTCAGCAATTACATCTATCATTCTGTGATTTTACACACTAATATCAAATTATCTATTCTGGTTTGTGCATACGTTTTTTTATTTTTGTATTTGTAGGTAAGCTAAGCACAAGTACTTAGTCATAAAAATCGATTTACACGGTTTAAGAGCACACAGCTTGTTAACTCAACCAGAAACCAATGTAACGATTCGTGGCTTCCAATCAAGCTAAGAGCCAGGTATCGTCTAGTTGGTCACTTGCTGGTCAGCTTCATCAACCCTTTACTGGTTGGATCTAATGGATTATCTACTTAACATTCAGGATTAACTTTAATCTAGGACATAGAGCAGTGCCAGAATGTGTCGCGTATACACTATATAACAGTACACAGTGAAACTAGCTAAGCCTATAGCATAATTCTCTCTCTCTGTTGGAAACAGTCACGAGCCCCTCGGGATTGTCTCTTTACCGTTTGTTTCGCTAACGAGGGTCATTAATTACCGTACGGCCATTAATACGAGCGCGAGGTCAGGGAAGAACTAGTTGTTAGAACAACGCTTATTTACTAAAACACTTTACCGCGAAATCTTCAGTGAGCCAACAGTACTCCACGTAACATTGTTTCTCAGCAACTCTTTGATGGCTAATTCTATTGAAGCTCCTCTAACAATATGGAAAGATAGACAATAACCTCCCCTGACGGCACGTTAATTGGATCGGCCAGTTTTGTTTTTTGCTTGTAGACCTCTCCTTTCTGTCGAAGAGAACAACACAACCCTCGAGTGATCAGGACGGCGGAGTAACAGTAAAACCTTATTGCTTAAGCCCACAATAGCTATTAGGATATGGAGTTATAACCTAAAGCTATCAAAGTGTCGATTTAGATCTCTGACTTGCTAAGGTGGTTTATTAGGTTATAGATGGATGAATGGTTGTTAGTTGAAACAAGTATTTAACACTTATCAAAGTCTAAAGTAATGTCAGTTTTCTTTTTTTTAGATCGCCATGTAAATGATAAACTCTATATGAAATGTGTACATATAAACACACACATATATATATATAATTAACATATTAATTATAATATATAATTAACATATTAATTATCTCATAATGGTAATAATAAGAAACACAAAATAGAACAAAAAACAGTTGAAATTATTTTTGTTTATTTGATGTAAATTGCAAAATTACTTAATGATTTGATATGCCACGAATTGACCAGACATATTTATTAACTCGATAATGTTGATTTATTATATATTATGACGTAGCGTTATGCTAAATCTTATGATAGCATGGACTTTAGAAAATAAATCTGAATACAGAAACAACTTTGTAAAGAGATCTCATTGACTTAGATACAATGAACACTTTCCTTAATGTATGATATATATATTATTCAGATACAAGTCTACGTGATATACATATTCTACTTTTAAATATATATATATATCTGTATATGAAACTACACTGTTTGTAAGGACCGTTAGTCGAAGTTAAAAATTGTGATAATTAATTGAAATATTAAAATAAAATCATAAATATCAAAATTTCTGATAGACTTTTTTTCGTGTCAATTCAAGAAATCACAGTAAAGTTGTCAAAGTATAAAAATACTCTGCACAACAGTGCTTTCATACTAAGATATATACAGTTGCCAAATTAGTATACTTTCGTATTTACGTCAATTTTGGGCCCACCCAGTCGAAATGAATCAGCTATATTTCGAACCTTCAATGAAGGGCTCACCTACTCGCAATGCATCAGCTAGATTTCTAAACCTTCAACGAAGAACCCACCCACTCGCAAAGAATCAGCTAGATTTCTAAACCTTCAACGAAGGCCCCAC